CAGCACTCAAAGGAGAGAAGGTTACTTACCTGGTGCAGTAACTGAGGTTCTTTGAGATGTGTTTCCCTGTCGGTGCTCCACTACCCGCCCTCTCCCCATCCCCCTTTGTTTTGCAGTTCGCAGAAAGGACTCTATGGTAGAGCAGGAACTGAGGAGGTCGGGATGCATGAGCGCTAGATAAAGCGCCAACGGTACCGCAATACAGCTACTGCACACGTGCATCCTTACCAGGCACTGCTACCAAAAATCTCTGATCAGCAGCGCCGGGATGCACTGACACCTGAACTGGAGCACCCACAGGGGGACACATCTCAAAGAACCTCAGTTACTGCACAAGATGAGTAACCTTCTCTAACCCCTAGAGGAATCCATTTACTTTCAGGTCGCACAGTTTAACAAGTTTTTACTACCATTATTTAATATCACTTCTACCAAGCTGGGGCAAAAGATTTTGTTCAAAGAATGGATTAAGTCAAAGGACTTCATCAATTCATGAATTTCAGAAGCTGAAAGCACAGCTTATTTAAAACCCACACAAGGGAGCTCTTGCATGGGGCAGAGAGTTGAGAGGAGAATATGTAGAAACTACCTTAAGTATTTTTAAGGTGTTTGTGCGGAAAGATTAGCAAAGCATGTTGTATTTGAGGTGCTTTTCAATAAGAATCAAATTTAAAAATAACCAGTTTAAAGGCACTACCTCCAGATCTTGAACTTTGCCTCTTTTTAAAAAAACTTAATTTCACTGGTGGCTTTTAAAGTCGTTACTTACACTTGCCCCTTTGTATTGATCTAGTTTACTAGTTATTGCCTAGTGTAGCATTTATTTTTAAAAGCAGAGATACCCTTAGAAGTTTTGTATTAGAAAATATTATCATAGTCTGAGAACTAATCAGACACTTATAGGTCTGTTTTTTTTTTGTAAGAACTGTTTGTATTACACAAAAATTGTTGCATTTTATTTTATAGTTGTATACACAGGGCTTGCAAATGGATTTTTCACTTGGCGAGTGCGATCACTTTCCATACAGTCTGAGCTTTTGTTTTAAAGCAAAGGCTGTAGCTTGTCATGTTAGGTCTTGGCCACTAGAAAATGTGTTTTCACTTTTATTTGCTTGTAACCATTTCTAACTCTATCACTTATACTTGATATCACTTAATATCCTTTTCTTTTTGTTTTGTTTTTATTTTTAATCTAAACAAAATCAGGTCTAGTTTTGACTTAGTGATTGTTAACTCTAGTTAAAGTGATAAGCTGTCCTTTGGCTCTATATACGAGCATACAAACCTTATTATTCCTCTGAAAAGTCGAGGAAAGGACATTGCAGAACACATGCTTTTGGGAAGATTTGGGGAGGGTGAAGTGTTGGGGTCATCTCTACTGGGTATTACCAGAGCTCCTGTATGCCAGAGTGTGGCTGGGCTGTAGCATCCAGGTTGCTGCAGTCATAGTTACTGAGTCAAACCTGCTTAACACCCATTCAGTGTATGCTTTTCTGCTGGCTGGCAGTGTACAGGCTGTGAGCCACAGCAGAATAGCGTTTAAGGCACTCGGTTACAGGGCAGGCAGTGAGACAACCTCTCACTGGGCTGGATTACGCCCCACAACATGACATCCTCCTTTATGGCTGAACAGCTGTTTCATTTATAAAGGGACTGGTGGTGGAGAAATCTTCGGATCCATCTGTGTCTCAGGGGTGCCAGATACTCTGAAGAAGAAGAAGATGAAGAGGAGACAATTTATTGTTCTAAAAGAGAGCTTGCTGACACAGACCATGACCCTGAGTTTTCACCAGATGAGCACCTGGGGTGTGGCTTCTGCCTCTTCCCCTTCTGATGACACTCTGCAGTTCTATGACCTGGTGGATCGAATGACATCTGCATTGAATTTACCTTCAGTAGTAGTGGAGGAAACCTTCTATCTGGTGTTTGACATTCTTGGGGCTGTCTCCAAGAATAGGATGTCGTTACCAATTCTCCATGGTCTGCTGCAGCCTGTTCAGACTATTTGAGCCACTCCTTCCTCTTGTCAGCCTGTTTCCAAGATGGCAGACAAATTATATCAAATAATTTTGATATATATTCCCCCCTCTCGGGGGGCAGAGGGGTTGTATTTTCATACACACCCTGTATATAATTTGTTGGTGCCTGCTGCCAGCAATGGTTGAGGTCTGGACAAGCATATTCCATTCCTGCTGATAGGAGAAAGAAAATTGATTCCCTAGGAAGAAATGTGTTCTCTTCTCCCACTGTTAGTATTAGGGTGGTAAATTATTAAGCAGTTATGACTCACTGTCAGTTCCACCTATGGGAAATGATGCTATTGTTTGTACAAGATTTGCCAGATAATAAAAGGATGTTGGCAAATGGAATCCAAATGGAGGGTCAAAATGTGGCTAAGTATGCTCTCAGGGCTTCGTTTGACACCTCAGCCTCTTCTGCTAGAACATTGATTTCTGTAGTTACTCAGAGGAGACATGCTTGGCTTCTCTCCTCTCTTCTGGCTCTGGATACTAGAATTAAGGTGGAAGATCTCGCCTTTGATAGGGATGGCCTTGTCATTGAAAAGACATGAATTACTGGAAAAGCTATAGGAGACAAGATCAATGCTCTGTTCTTTAGGCTTGATTCCTTCTACTGGAAGACTTCCTACTCTTTCTTCCCATTATTAGAGACAGTATTATCCATAGTCTTCCTTGATTTATTTCTTGTCAAATCAAAGACATCAGCAGGCTGTGACTTTCCAGAGCCGCCAGAAGAAGTCGTCTTTCAAATCAAGTCCTAAATCTCAACAATCTGCTTCCTCCCGGTCATCTTCATTGAACACCAAGCCTCAGATTTGATGTGAGGATTGAGAATTGAGAACCAATCAGCAAGGATCCTTCCCTTCCTCTGTTTGGAGACGGGCTAGTCCATTTTTATCAGCAAATGGAGGTTTATTACATCCCTGAAATTACAGAAAAGGGCTATTATATTCAGTATGAGAAACTACGCACTTTCAGTTCCCCCTACCTTTCCCTTTCAGGGAACCCTCTCACAACGCTGTTCTACTTTCAGAAGTGCAGAAATTGCTTCTGATAGGGGCTGTCAGGGAGGTGTCCAAACACCTTGAGGAGTCAGGGGTTTTATTCTCGATACTTCGTAGTACAGGAGAAGAATGCAGGGGGTGAGGGGAGGAAGGAGTTAATCCAATTTTAGATTTAAGGAACTTGAACAAATATATTTAGAAGCTTTGGTTCTGTATGTTAATTCTGACCTTTATAAACCGTTCACTTTAACTGTGGATTAGTTTGCGACTCTTAATCAGAAGGATGCATATTCTCATATTTCTGTCAGTCATCAAAAGTACCTTTCTTTTGTGGTGGCAGGACACCATTTCCAGTACAAGGTGCTCCCATTTGGCCTGTCTGTGATATAGCTCAGCTGAGAAAGCAGGGTATTTTTGTTTACCTATATCTGGATGATTGACTGTTGAAGGCTGCTGTTCACAAAAATCTATTAAACCATATTGCTTATACAATCGCCCTTTTTTTTCAGACCTGGAACAACTACTGAATGTCAAGTTGAATCCGTTCAACTCAATATTTTATTCTTTAGGTGCCATATTGGACTCAGAAAAGCCTTTTTACCACAGGACATGTTGTTTTTAATAGTGCAGTATATTTTAAACTTTCAAATATGTCAGAACTCTAAGTAACTGTCTTTCTGAGTCTCATGGCTGCTACTACTTGTGTGAATCTCCTTGAGTGTCTCGGAATTAGGCCAGTGCATCATTGGATGTCCAGCTTTGGCTCGTTGACCTGAGACCATCTTCAAATGTTAGTCAACATTTCTTGAAATGTTCCGGACTCGCTGATGTGGTAGGCAGTCAGAGCTAATGTCAGACTTCCAGTTCAATCCCCCTTCGCCATCAGTGAGGGTAACTTCAGATGTGTCAAACAATGGTTGGGGGAATAGGCACAACTGAGTAATTGTACAGTTTGAAGATCACTGGGTTTCTCAGTAGAGGGGCTTGCACATAAACATGTTGGAGTTAAGAGAAACTTTGTGTGACCCTCACGTTGTTCCTCCCTCACATACATGGGAAGGTTGTTCAAGTAGTGATGTAAAACACAGCTGCTGTAAAACACAACAAATGGGGATACTCACTCCGTTAATACGGTAGAAATGTGCGGTCTGTGACAACTTACCAAAATTCATGGAGTGCCCCCCCCCCCCCGGCCAAAAATTATTGTGCACCCCTGCTTCAGGGGCTGATGCTAGATTTGACAGAGTAGTTTTTCAATTTCTATTAAGTTCAGGCTCTGGTTCCTCCAGGCTATTTTCAGCATTACTCATCATACTACTCATAAGTGGGAATATGCAGAACTACTCAAAGCAGAAATTAAGGTCAGTTCAGTATTCTTTGAGATGGCTCTGCATACTCATACGTCCCTCCCCCCAACTCCCCCCCCCCCCCGTCTTTTTGTTCTGTATTTCTGGCTTGGTGGAGGAAAGAGATGAGATGGTAGAGGGCACTGTGCCTCCTTATATAGCCTTGCTTCAGAACATTCAGGGATGCTGGGGTTGGGGAGGAATAAGAGCACAAGCACTTTAACAGACACTGCTTGGAGATGGTTCTCCCGTTAGGCATCTTTGTGCGGCACACTACATATAAGTGGAATATGCAGAGCCATCTTGAAGAACTCTGGTTACAAATAAGTAACCTTCACTTCCTGAATTTTTTTTTCCCCCTACTGAAGGGCTAAATTTTTGTGGATACACTATGGTACAGTGAATAAACTTAAAATATTTTCCAGTTTGAGGTGTTACTGGTTCCAGCAGTATCCCCTGTTTTAAATGTAGGGAATATCACTGATACAGGGTAAAAACTCTAAATTTGGAACATATTCTAAATGTTCCCACTGTAGTTTCTTTTGAGTTTTCTAAAATATTAAAATTTGACTGGTGATTTTAATACTTAAGGATCATCCATCTGATTTAATATTTTGCTTTAATTCCAGAGGGAAGTTTGCAGTGGTGAAGAAGTGTGTCAAGAAAGATACAGAAAAGGAGTTTGCAGCCAAATTCATGCGAAAAAGAAGAAAGGGCCAAGACTGTCGAATGGAAATAATCCATGAGATAGCTGTCCTTGAGTTGGCACAATGCAACCTTTGGGTCATTAATTTACATGAAGTTTATGAGACTGCAACAGAGATTATCTTAGTTCTGGAATAGTAAGTACTAATTTCATATTGTGGGGTCTTACGCTTTTTTCCCGTGTGTGTGTGTGGTGTATACTCACACACTAATTTCCTGAATTATTTGCTGAAAATGAAAAATCTAAATAATGTGCACCCAAAAGACAAGAAATTTGAAAACTGATATTTCACTGCTGAGTTGCTATAATCACCTGGTTTTCAGATCTGAAAGAAAGAATGATTAAATCAGGAATTACAAGCAGTTTGTGGGATCAAGTGACTATTGTGGACTATATCAATTTCCCTAACCTAGTTGAATTTATAATCTATTTGTAATAGGTTGACGTGTTTGTAATATACTTGTAGCTTTGTGGTCATGTGATACACTAACTTCTCTAGATACATTATTTCATTAGAAAAATTAATATCATGTGAAGACACAAGACAGTAGATTCTCTTTCTTGGTAGAAATTGGGGTGGAAAATGCCAGACATGTGCCTGCACATACATGGGCTCAAACATAAATGTACTGGTTTGGTTGACTATGGGCCTGTATATCCCTTTTGAATACAACTCATTTTCCCTGTGCTGATATCTGCCAGTGAGTGCCCCTTCTTATAGTGATGTACTTTAACCACTGCCTTACAGCATTATTGCAGACAGGTTCCTAGAGAGAGCTGAAACTTCAATTATCTTTCTCTCTCAAGTAGAAATATAAGCCTCTTACAGAAAAGATTTATTCATTGGATCTGCAAATCCATCTGGAGTCTCTGCCTCTTTCTTTCTAGTCAGATTGAAATAAAAGCTAGTTTGAAGGAAGAAGTTAGCAATGGCACTGTGCTTCAACTACAGCTTCCAGTTTGTATTCTGCCACTGAAGATACATGGCATCTTGAAGCCCTCCTATTTAACAGATATTGCTGATGTCCCATTTGTAGTATGTCTTCTGCACTGGATTGTTCTGCTAATAAGACTGTTTTTTTTTTTCCCTGTGCACCAGAGAAGAAGGCAGGTTTTGTGGTTAAGGCCCTAGGCTGGGACTCTGAGATGTGGATTCAATTTCCTGCCCTGCTACAGACTTCAAGTGACTTTCCTAATGTCACACAATTTCTCTGAGCCTTAGTTTCCCTTTCTGTAAATTGGGGGTAAAATATATGTTCTCCCCGTGCTCTCTAGAAATTTTATCTGTTTAGACTGTAACCCCCTCAATGCTGGGGCTCTTACTACATGTATATACCTTACTTAGCATAACAGCGTCTCAATCTCCATTAAATTCTCCATCGGCTACTTTAGTACAAATAATAAAAATCCCTTCTGTTTATGCTCTTCCAGTAGAATTATTCTAGCTGAACCAATGCTAGCTAAATAACTTGTGGTCTGGCAGTTCAGTCAAAACTTTACTTCTTCTGTCAGACAGTTCTAGCTCCTTATCTTCTTAAACACTAGATAAAGCAGTTTGAAACATAAGAATTCTTTAAAATGACTCTTGTCACCTTGATGCTCAAGACAACTTCTAGTCTTTAGCTCTCTGGGCAAAAGTGAGAGCAGCAGCTTCAACAATTTTTTAAGATGGCTTGTCTGGCAGAAACAAAAGTCTGTGCTCCAACAGTACCCTATTGGGAGAGAACCTATCAGAAGTGTGGGCAGGGAGGTTCAGGATCAGACCAGTCTGAGTAACTTGAGACTCCTATCATCTGCCCATTCTTCTTCCCTTTTTCCACTTCTCTCCTCTCTCTACAAAAAAAAAATAAACAACAAAAACCAAAGTTTCACAAGATAAATCTGCAGTGACTGGAGCCTTTTTAGTCCTGAGTCTTTAATTATGTTAAAATGTCCATAGATCACTGCCAAAAAGGTGATGAAATAAATACTTGTTGCGGCTAAACTGTAAAAGTTATGGTTTCTCCCAAGCCTCTTGTGCCTCTAGATGTTCGTTAAATGACTAGGGGAGAGTAGTTATGGTGCTGGCAGTTAAGAAGCCATTTACATTATCTGTTATTAGTATAACTCATTGCCTGCCTTGGTGAGAAGCCTGGTTTTCAAGTTTCTCAGATTCTTGTTCATAGGCTAGAATGTGGATTATATGAAATTGTGATCAGGACCTTGCGCTTACCCATCCCCATCCATCTGAGAAGCTCAATTAAATTGAAGAGAAGCTGTAGAAGATTAATAGGGATTTGTTTTTAAAATAAATAGTACACTACAGAAGAACCTCAGAGTTACGAACACCAGTTATGAACTGACCAGTTAACCACACATCTCATTTGCAACCAGAAGTATTCAATCAGGCACCAGCGGAGACCAAAAAAAGCAAATACAGTATGTACTGTGTTAAACATTAAACTATTTAAAAAAAAGCAAAGCATCATTTTTCTACTGCATAGTAAAGTGTCAAACCTGTATTAAGTCAATGTTTAGTTGTAAACTTTTGAAAGAACCATGTTTTGTTCAGCGTTACGAACATTTCAGAGTTACTAACAACCTCCATTCCCAAAGTGTTCGTAATTCTGAGGTTCTACTGTAGAACCTCGTTATAACAGGTATTTTCTAAAAAATGTCAACTCTTTTTATATATTCTTTACTTGCACTACAGTATGTAGATTGTCTACGGATTGTAATTGAGTGAGGTATAGAAAACTGGAGTGGTGTCTGTCTTTAGTTTATTGCCAGTGATATTTAAACAGAATAGCTAGTTACAAAATATGAATCCAACAGGGATGTGGTGTATGCTTAGGCACCAAATCCAGAAGTAAACAATTGGGGGTTTTTTTTGTTTTTTTTTTGGTGACACATGTAATACAGAACTGCTGGATTTTTGATAGGAGGAGTTAATACTTCATTACACATACAAAGCACATTTAGGATTGTAAACTACAAAAACACACTTCCACTGACTTCAGCAAATATATCTGGACACTTTTCTAATGTCAGCATGTTCCAGTGACATGTTGAAACAAAACTGGTCTGAGTGTTTGTAAACTTCTGACCTTCTGGATTCAGGGGATTAATAAACATACAGTTTAGACTGCAAACTCTTTTTAGGGCAGGGTACTGTCTCTATACGCTCTTGTGCAGCATGTAGCAAAATGTGGCACCCCGATCTTAATTGGGGTGGTTGGACACTACAGGGGGTCCCTGGTATATGTCAGGGTTGCGTTCTTGAAAAGGGCGACGGATACCGAAATGACGGATACTGGGGAATTTTTCCCCATAAGAAATAATAGCCTGTCCCACCTCGCCTCTTCCTGCCCAGTTCTGCCCCCTCCTCTGAGTGCGCCCTGTCCCTGCTCCTCCCCCTCCCTCACAGCGCCTTCCGCATACTGGGGAAGAGCTGTTTTGCGGTGTGCAGGAGGCACTGGGAGGGAGGGGGAAGAGTTGATTGGCGGCCCACAGGGCCACTGGCGGACGGGAGGTGCTGTCAGACGCTGGCTGCCGGTGGTTACTAAGCACCCACAGAAAAAACACACAAAAGGTGAAGCAACGGATATGCGGATTGGGACCGACGTGAATCGGAACATGTTCCCCTGTTGATGAGCGACGGATACGCGAAACAACAGATGAAGAGGAGACATGTACCAGGAACCCCCTGTACTGCAGTAAATACAAACAAATCCACAGTATTTTTATATATATATATATAATATGAATAAATCCTTGTATTAAGTGGTGATTTAAATTGTTTTCTGAGGGAAGAATATTTAGGAAATAGTCTCAAAAACCATGCCACCTCTGTCATCTATTAATACCTTTGCAGTGTCTTTGAAGGATGGGAGAGGGAAACTTTGTCCAAATCTATAAATCCTTCCTTCCTTAAGTGGTTTCAACAGCATTTTTTAACGCAAATAACAAGTTAGTTATTTTCATCAAGATATTTATAATGCACCTGTTGACATGATGCATAGGTGCCCATTTATGCCTAACATCATTTAAATAGGATGTAATTAGTTTGTCTAATCCAGAAAAAATAGATTTGAGGTATAAATATAAATGTCTAGTCCACTTGCTTTATGGTGGTGGCCAAGGTGAGACCTGTTGCCACATAATATTTCAACTTTCACAAGGATCCCAACAAAGTACTGAGTGCAGCTAGTTGTGAACATGTAGCATGAAAAGTTTCAAGTATTGTTTTAAGTTTAAAAGTAATAGGGTCCACCAGAGTGGAAATAATGGTATATAGTTTTCATATTTCCGTCTGGGATTTTCTATCAATGGGTATAAAGTAAATTGACACTCCCTCCTGTGGGTCATTTTTTATGTGGAAAGCCAGGCTTTTCTGGCAGTGGACAGTTTGACTTCCATCAGATCTAGTTTTCTTGTACAAAAGTTGAACTGAGGCAAATTGTGTTCACTTTGGCCCCAAATTGCTACTCATGTCTTCCTTGGATGTCACTCCTGCCAATTCATCATATCCATTTACACATGACTACCCTTCTAACTATTGTAAGGGGTCCTTCTAATCTTCTCACATGAAGAGCTCTGTGTAAGCTTGAAAGCTTGTCTCTTTCACCAACAGAAGCTGATCCAATAAAATATTACCTCACCCACCTTGTCTCTCTAATATCCTGGGACCAACACAGCTGCAACAACACTGCATGCAAACAGATAGTGACAGCGAGGCTTAACTGCAGCCATTAAGTTCCAGTCAGGAGCTTCAGATTAATCACTGTGTAGCTTACACATCAGAACAGTTTGGCTACACTGTACCAGAAACAGTAATGTTATGCCAATTGTATGTCACTATGTCAGTGTGGAAATGAAACTTTCTAATTAAAATACTCTGAATTATATGGCTCCTCTGGGTATATCTCTGCTGCTTCACATTGCTGTCTCTAAACAACTGATTTTCTAGAAAATATTTTTTGATATACTAGGTTGTGCTGGCTGGCTGTATTTAGACTAAACTTCTCAGACCAAGAACAGTCAATATGTGCCTTATGTAGTATGAGACTGTAGTACAGTCTTAGCACTTCATGAAGAATAAAATGAATTCATGAGAATATATCTTTTTGCAGTGCAATACACATGAAGACTGTTCTT